GTGGCCACCCATTAAAGTTGCACAAACCCCGGTCTGACCGGGTTTTGGCAACTTTTAGATTATCGCGTAGGGTTATAGCTTATTGGAACACATTGCCTGCAGACGTCGTGATGGCACCGACGTTGAAAGAGTTCGAGCATCGACTTGACGCTCTCGATCTGCAGTTTAAAGTCTTCCCCATCGTGTCTTAAACTTTTCTTCGTCTATTACGGCTTACGCTTCTTTAACTCATTTTAACTTACATTTTAATATTGGCTACGATATTAGATTAGCTTGTCTTCTCTGTTTTCTTTTCTTTACTGACACTACTGTTTTCTTTTATTCTTCACGTGGCCGGCACAGCGGGGACTGCTAGTGCAGGGCACTTGGGCATTGTTTGGTTGACCATATGAATCGTGTGTGTTGATTTGGCTCTCCTTTGGCACATCAAGGCACCGGTTTCCCTGTTGGATCAACGACGTTTTCAAAGGTGGAACATTCGCGGGATTTTCCTACTGTTCCGGTCCCAATTGAACTTGAACTTGAGCTGTGGGTGGTGCAGCGCAAGCCATCCATGGTCCCTCTGTAGGCGCAGGCGTCCTGTGGCTTGCCACAGTGACAGGCAAATCCGAAACCGGATATATATATATATATATACCGATCACTTGCTCCTCTGGTTAGTCACTGCAATACTGCTGTCTGCTTAGGTGCCCTTCATCCTTTTGAGCTTTTATCAACACATGTTGGGTCCAGACCTTCTTCCGTACTCGGCACGTCTCTTACGATTAGCATCTGAGTAGCACCCCACAACCTCATACTATTCGTGTGCTATGAGATCGTAATTGGAGGGGGAATTTAAAAGACGGGAAGGACAAAAAAACTCACAACACAAACTCTATTGGGGCCGGATTCTAACCATACCAGCAAGTATGTTCAACCAAACGTGTTCATCTTCCTTCGGACCGTAGTCTGGTAATCGGGATGCACAAACCCACGCCAACTTAGAAATAATGGGTATTCATTCCTCTTGACCAAGTCATTGCTTGGCCTCCTGTCACGTATTGGAATCGCTTCAGACAATCACTCAAATCACACGCTTCGTAACGGCTCCAGAAGCCCAATGCAAAAGCCAGACTTTCAAGCAGGAACTATAATTTCGGGACAAACCAACCATTAACAGCCGCCCAACTGTCAGAAGTATTGACTGGAAGATCAAAAGTGCAACGATTGAAAAGGACAGAATGATAGATGATGTATCCCAAGGGGAACAATCAGCGAAAGTGGCGTTACAGAACCAGTTTCCCATAGTAACGATCAACGTCATCAGCGGAAACGGAATGTACATTGTTTCCACTTTTGACAGAAGTTTGGAAAAATGTGTCACTCAAGGTAGGTTAACCGCCACAACACCTCAATTTTTTCAGAAGAGCTATTTGTAGCCTCGTTTTCTTGGGTTCAACTGTAGCAGCTTTATTCGACGTCGGACACCATCTGTCCATCGACGAGAGTAAATGTTGACATCTACCTTTTCTTCCGATGGAGTGGGATTTTCAGTACTCAAGGATGGGGTAGAAAAAGTTGGATTTGCAGTACCCGCTGTGTAAAAGCAGTGTAAAGCAGTATGTCTAACAGAATTGGTCAGTGACTGATATCCTGCAATGAGTTTGCGTGCCTTAGGCGCAACTGGTTGTGGTGCCGACTCCACGTTTCATCATTTACCAACACATCGCCCGTGACTTAGTGGTAATGAGCTTGTCTCATAATCTTGCGGGTGGGCGTCCTCGCGGTATAATCAGCCCGCGTACGACTGATGGTGGTCGCCCCTCAGCGAAGCGCGGTTACGGCGTACAGCGTATTGTTATCATTCGTCCTCGACTAGTGGTAACAACGGCTTAAACCACCCGCCTCTGTAATCCCGAGCTTATAATGGGGTTCCGACCGTGAACCCACGATGATCTTTAATTGTGGAAGGCAGAGGTAATCCCCTCCTCAGAATGAGGGCATCGCGTACTCTACGGCCGATAAGAGCTTCGGCTGGAGAACGATTTTTGGGCGTCGCTAGGTTGGCAGTAGTTCGATACACAAACAAGAGTTCATAGTATCTCATCGATAGTCCACTCCCCACGGGACTTCAGGAGCGCTCGCTTGAAGGTATCGACAAAGCGCTCAGCTTAGCCTTTCGATTGAGGGTGATAAGGCAGGGCCTGCATGTTTTGGATATTGAAGAGAAAAAAATCCGCAAATTGGGTTGAAATGAATTGGGATCCATTGTCTGTAACAATCACGTCTGACAGACCGTGATGGCTGAAGATGTTTCGAAGGGCGGAAATCGTGCTAGTTAAGGTCGCTGGACTGAGCGCTACCACTTCTGGCCACTTGGAGTAGGCGTCGGTGACGACGAGGTACGACACTCCGCGTGGTGACTGGAGACCGCAGATGAAAATTAGGCATCGAACCTGAGCTTCAGTGAGAGATCCGAGCTTACAACGGCCACACTTACAATTGACGAGCCCAGCAGAAGTGACAAAGTCGTCGGCGTCCTTCTTGACTATTTGGAGGCATTGGAAGCGAGTGTTAAACAAGGATGAGGTGTCCCCGAAAATCAACATCTGCACCTTATCGTTGAAACTGCGTGATCGCGGTTCGGCAGAGAGAATGAAGTTTGTGTAACGTATATGTTCTGCTGGGCCCACTTTCCGGAGAAGTAGACGGGCTTAGTCTCGTCATCATGGTAGGCCAGTTCAACCGAGAAGATATCCTTGTTCCATGACTCGAACGCCACGCCAGATTGCAAGTCATACTGGAAATCCACTGATGATAATTCTGCGGAGGAAAACGACCCCATAGTGGAGAATTTTGAGACCAGCATCCCCATTAGCTTGATCTGGGCTTACATCATCTGCTTCAAGTCTGCACCGGCAGCCATGGTTGAGAAGTCAAAAGTAACGCCGTCGCTAGATGTTATGTATTGGAATCGCTTCAGACAATCACTCAAATCACACGCTTCGCAACGGCTCCAGAAGCCCAATGCAAAAAGCCAGACTTTCAAGCAGGAACTATAATTCCGGGACAAACCGACCATTAACAGCCGCCCAACTGTCAGAAGTATTGACTGGAAGATCAAAAGTGCAACGGTTGAGAAGAACTATAGAATGATAGATGTGTCCCAAGGGGAGGAATCGGCGGAAGTGGCGTTACAGAACCACTTTCCCATAGTAAAGATCAACAGCATCAGCGAAAACGGAATATGCATTGTTTCCACTTTTGATAAAAGTCTTGAAAGGAAGATTAAACTGCAAAACACCTCCCTTTCTTCTCTTTCATCCAGACCTGCTGAGCTTGTCAGCGTGTCGCCTTTCTTGTCGAGCGTTATTTGCGCTCCCCGGAAACAAGTTGAAATAGCACCGCGGTGGACAACCATTGACATGGAAAAGGCGCATGAAGAAGGCAACTTCAAGCGTAGCTTTCGTTGGGTCGGTCCACCTTCCAGGGTGGGGACCACGCGACTCGGACTGCCAGTGGTTAGAACTGCTGAAGGTGATGGCGCGCAACAGACATAGGTGACGACAATGTTGTTCAACTACATTATCTATGAATGTCACGTCATTATCAATACACTTTAGCTGAGGGTGAGAAACACCTCAACTAATGTGGATTGGCTGCTTCCGTGTCCGGATTTGCCTGTCACTGTGGCCTCCTCGGGGACAGCCACAGGTTGCCTGCGCCTACAGAGGGACCATGGGTGGCTTGCGTTGCGCCACTCACACACTCCATATCCGATGTAATCCTGAAGGAATAAGACCGGGAAGTATGTGGATGGGAGCGACGTTTCATCAATGGAGCCGGCCCACACCTTCAACAACCAGAACGGAAGCATTCCTGCCTACTTGAGAAAGCATGCGTAGCAGACGTATACGTGTTCGGAGCATTGGAATTCGTGTCGAAACTTTCTAGTTTAAGATGACATTCCATAGCGATTCTTCTGTACGCGAATTAATTGTAATATGACAGGGCAGTCAGGCCTTATACATCAGCTAGTAGAGGTACTAGCTTAAGTATATTGGGCAGGGAAAGCGTTGCTACATCATTAAACACAATGAGGAATAATACCACAATCGGCCAACGTGAATATCACCCGCTCCACTCACAAAGACCTATCAGTTATCCGATCTGTGTGGTTCCGGCGAAAATTGAAACGCGTTAGTTCGCTTTTCTTACGTCTCCTCCAAATTTACTACCACTAATGCTACTGATGAAACCGGATGGTCGTACACCGGCACTATGAGGTACTGACACTGTACAAGATACTATTCCACTTTGTGACACGGTGTATCATTAGTCTGGGTCCTAACTGTATTGCAATTATGCAGGTGTTCGCCGTGGAAACGTCTGACGAGACGGAAAATTCTCAGGAGCTTCAGATGAAGTTCATCCACCATATCGTTTTCGCGCTATTACCAATCAACATCCAGGAATGATTGTTTACATACTTTAACCTATTGTCTTAGTCCCCTTTGGTTATTGGATGTCTATCATTGCTTCAGTTCGCTCATCCCCCCCCTAATGTGCCAGTTTGAGCAGCTGGTATGTAAACCAACTCGTCACGTAAAAAGCAAAAGGCCTGTCAATCACTGTGATTGCTTTGATGAAGTCTTTCAGTGTGCATTTACATCTACAGGGTCAGGCGTTCGAACACAGACCTTAACACTGTTCAGCCGTCGGATATATGTTGACTATTCGCACTACTGAGTATAACTGAGTAGTTGTTCCCTTTGTCTCGCAGAGGCATTATCAGCTATGGGCTCTTGCTTCGTTCGATCTCCATTGTAATTCTAGCCAACCACTCTCTGCTACGCTATTAGAGCGTAGATACCGCTCATGTGCTTGTCCGTGGTCCACTACAGTACACATTCTTGACTTGACTTTGTTCCCTTCCTAACCATCGCATCTTTGTTTGTTTGTGCTCATTTCGTTGGGCTTCTCAAAATGTTTTCATAAGTAATAACATATTCATTTCCTATTGCAGCCACCAACCTCATGCCCGGATAACTACCGTGTTCGAAATGCCATCGGCTATCATAACCCGCAAAAAGTTGCATTGCTGTCTACAGGATGTACAGACCTTCAGCAAACCGAAGCTTCCTCTTGAGCAGTATCCAACATCAGCTCAAGTAGCCAGTAGGTTCAGTTGAAAAGCTTCAACGTCACTTTAACAGCTGACGTTTTATTCAACATGCAGATTCAAGACGGTTGTCTAGAAGGTATGGCAGTAGCGGATTTAGGTTGTGGCCCTGGAATTTTCACTATTGGAGCCCGCCTGCTGGGAGCCAGGTGAGTAGCAAATTTAGGTTCTTTGTAACCAATTTACAGTTATGTTCTCGGAGTGGAATTGGATCAGGACGCAGTAAACGACTTCAGCAGTAATCTTGATTTATATGATCTGAAAAATGATAGCATCGATGTGTTGCAGTGCGACGTCGTTCGACTGGCACGGGATGGAGACAGGAAGATAGTGGACACTGTCATCACGAACCCTCCGTTCGGTACCAATCAGGCTAACGCGGGCATTGACACTCGTTTCCTTCGTGTAGCATTGTCCATGGCATCGGCTCATGTTTATTCCTTGCATAAATCGAGTACCCGAGAAGTACGCCAGGAATCCCTCATTCGGATTATCTCACACTTGCTATCGCGTCTCTGTTGCTGCTTACGTCACATGATTTGATACCGAGAACCACTCTCGCTTGGAAGTTATGCCACCGTCTTCATAATCGATAGCGATATGCCAATACATGTTGTTGGTATTTCACTAATGTACCGTTCTATGCACGACATTAACGTGCAGGCTAGCGGAGAGTAAGCCACACCGTATCACAACTAGTAACAGCCACATCCGACTTTGCTAACCGTCCTGATTCAGTTGAATGCCAAACGGTGATCGAACGGCTCGCGCGTCTGGCATATCATCATCAATAGGTCAGCGATTTGAGCCTTCATAAGTGCGGACAACCTCACTGTCTCTGGCCCGCACGCAACTGGTAGCGCTCGCGTGCGTAGCAGTGAAACGTCGGTACGAAATGCTGACTTACTGTTGATGTCCCTCCTTAATTTAGCGATGTCGACCGTTGATCCATCTCATGATAGAGTGCACTGGACCACTGTGTCTCGAAGAAGTATGGTTATAGGTCTTAGTTTCACTAAGGGCAGATGAAATGCGTACTGTTGACAAGTCCTCAGGAGCGAAAACGGCCATGTAGTGCTTATAAGGGCGTGTGATGGATACTTAGCCGAACGTAGTGGTAATGTGTTTAGCTTACATCAGCTGGACCCCTCATAAACATTGTTACTCTACTAATCAGAAGGGAGATGAATCTAATGCAAAAGAGACGTTCCTCTGACAAACATTCCTTGTTACAACTCATCAGCCACCAAAATGTTGATGTAATTTACACTGCTTCTCCATGGAGTTAATCATCTTCAGTAGCATTCGCTCCCGCATTTTGATGGACATTCCATATACCATAGAGTTCAAAGGCCAGTTAAATCGACTGAGCATGCCGGACTTCTAAATCGATCAATCCACACTGTTTTGCATCCCTGTACACATATTAGTGCCCGCTCGATAAAAGCTGCCGATGATAGATGCAGCACTATATCACGTGCGTTGCACCATGAGCTGTGTGATCTGTTATGGATGCACAGCGGCGAGCCTGATATTGGTCCCAACCACCCATAGCGAAATGATGGACGTAGTTTCTGCACGATAAGCAAATTTTACTGTTTTTTGCTAAGCGAATCCTGCTGTTTACCACCCATTCGTCTTCTCTTTGGCTCTGTTGCAGCACATTATGCGAACCGTCGAAGTGCTAGGAGCAAACTCTAAAGTGGTGGCCGAATTGCGTTTTGATATCCCACGAATGTACAAACGCCATCGTCAGGAGACAGTGGATATCGCGGTGGACCTGGTGCACTGCTGGTTCTGAATTGATCATGTGCAGGGAGGAATAAACAATCTCACATCTGCAGTTTTTGTTTTTCTGGGTCTTCTTGGGTCCCGTGAGGTCTCTTTTTCGGCCGGCGGTGGTCAGATAGATATATAAACAGTGTGGAGTAGGTATAGAGCGATCCATTCTATGAAAGTCTAGATGGTATCATCATACCGATGCCACGGAAAAGGAACCCGAATACTTTAGTTTTCTTTCACACCTGGTTTTCCGTTTTGTCAATAACAATCCTAAACAAATGAATCCAATCATGTCTGGACGCAGTTTTTCCACTCAATCCGGGTCAGAGTCATCACAGTAATCTGCACTTCTAGATATCTGGTCAGACGGGACATCGACGATTTCGGATTTCTTCCACCACCACTTGTTGCGGCGTTGCCGAGCTGGACAACGTGATTTCAAACCATTCTTGGGCTTGTGTTTCATCAGATATTGCTACGAACCTGCTATCACTACTGCATTGATGACGTCACTTCGATTGGTGGTGAAATCCCCGCAGTCGGACTGTCTAGCTCGATGATACCACAACTGAATTTCGATTGCAATTCTGCACGAACAAGCAGGGCGCGGTACAGTAAACACCCGTATGGCATACGTACCTTAGAAGCGAACTGTCTTGGGTAGCAAACCCCACCAAGCTTATTGAATACAAGACATGTTTCGCAATTTAGGTCGTTCCAAACCTAGCCATCTTCCGCAAACATCAATTGTCAGTGACTAAAATCCAGCGTATATCATTCACGCAAATCGATTAAGAGTCGCTTCCATCCGGCAGCACCGCGTATAAAGTGACTTCACACACCCCCCCGCCATAATTATTGGGATATGTCCCGATGATGCTACGAACTTCTCAGGTTGACAAACTCTGATCGGACCTTGGCAGAGATACTTCATTTTATAATTATCATTACCAGAGAGGAGCTTGCCTAGATAGAGACAGCCGTCCTCTTGTTCGGCCTGTGTGCACTCAAGAGTGAGTAAAGGAGCAAGTGAGCACCCGTCGAGTTAGTACTTTACATCCCAATGAGGCAAGCAATCATGGTCTGAGTACCGAAGTGTGGTTACCATAGCTGAAGTCGCCAGTATGGTACTGATTAACAGTGGCGGGTGAAATTAAGTAGAATGCAAGGCGTAATGTAAAGAAAATAAGCTTGGAAACAGGGTAAATAAAGTGTATCGGATCGGAATGATACGCTGTTGCGCAAGAAGCAAGATGTAGGAGTGTCACCGATAGCCATGTTCGATAGGGTTTCCAGTCACCGATGTGGCTCACTCTGAGGAGTTGCTCATGGATGTCAGGCGTCTTCCGTTAACCGTTAGACCCTGAGTTCCACTACCAGTTCATGCCATTTTCAACTGATGAATCCAAACGGAGACGAAACCGGTTATGCGCCCTATCAGAAGTGGCGCTCTCGTATTTGTTCTCATGTTTCTGACTCTTGAACCCGCCACCTGGTATCTTTACGCTTTACCCATTCCCCTCCGACCATCTTATTTTTTCTTCATTAAGTCGATTCAGTGGGGTCCAGTGCATGGATCCGCGGTTTTTCGGCTAAAATGCTAGGAAGTCGGGTATCGTACTAAGTTGCGATAGGGAGGTTTTTATGCACCTATCGATAGTCAGGATAACAGAAAATTCATCTGGGACCCAGAACAGTTTTTGTACTATTAGCGTATTTGACTTTATGTTCGATCACCAGGTGTCAACAGTAACTCGACTGCTCCATACGCGAGTGTATACCTTAAGGTACCCATCTGATCCGTTGAGGTCTACTGGGTGGCACTGTTGAGCCTCAAAAACTAATCACTGGTGGGGAGTGGGAGGCAAGCTCGTTACCTAATCATGGTCAATTCGCGCAGATGACATGCGCCGGCTCTCGGTCTTCGTTAATGGATGGTTGAGGAGAATTGCTCGTATGTGGTGGCAATAGCGTATCTGCAACGGTGAAGTCAGACATCGTGTCTTAGGGAATGAGAGTATTCCCTTTAACAAGCTGGTTTTACTGGGCCAGTTAACATGGCTCGGTCACGTCTTGCGTATTTCAGCTGAGCGTTTGCCCTATCGCGCTCTATTCGCTCGTGCAAGACTCGATTAGAAGAGACCACGCGGTGGTCAACCATCCACTTAGCAACAGCATATAAAATCACTCCCGTTAGATCCACACACGTGCTTGGTTGGGAACCTAAGGACGAAGAGTGCCGACGGCTCGAAACAATTTAGAATATGTAGCGCATTCGAAATAACTGGAAGATCTGTGTACATACTTGTTTGGATTCAGATATTTAACACCTAACAATTAAAAAAGATTAAAAAACAAACAAGAAATGGCGTGGGGAGAAATAGCAAAAAAGGTTTCCTTCTCGCGACACAATAGCTGAAGTGTGTCGCTCACCTTCTACTGATGTACCATAATGGTGATGCCGCGGCGATTCTACCTATCATCCGTTGAATTCCATTGTTCTGTTGATTCTACTACTACTACTAGTCATCCGGACTAGATTCGAAAGTGGGATGACAGGTTTCTGTAAAAGCTATTCATATGGTGACAGATATCGAGCTCCTACCAGCTTGCGGTTAAAACCTTAACACTTTGAGCCGCCTTCAGTCCGGGTTTGAGCGCCTTAGCAATAACACAGGGTTACAACAACACACCGGAATTTTACACCGACTCTTTGCTGCTACGCGACATCATTCACATATACATACTGTACAGCAGTTTGAACCACTCCAACACCGGCTACAACTACTACTACAGAGAAGTCCGACATCGTCTCCGTACTGGCCAACTTAGTTTAGATCCTCGGGATCAGTCCTATGAGTCAATTGGATACCTTATCTGGCTTGGCGCAGTTTCAGAAGCAGTGGAACTGTCGCATTGTCTCTTACTGATAATTTTCCGATTTGATTGCATTTGTTACACTGATAATAGTTTGCCAAATAAACTGAATAGTGTATTGCCCAACTACTTCCGTGGGGTAAAGACCCATCGGAAGCTGATTTTAATATACAGAGGGTATGAAGTATTCTACGCCGCAAACGCACCGTTGTTGAGGTAACTGCTCCGAAATCAGGCTACCGGATGTGTTTATCTCCCAGTGCCTTCTTCGTATCTGAACCCCATAACCATTTGTCCGCTATCGTAATTCGTTCCGTAATTAATCTACCCTTAGCATTCTAGCTGGCTTTATTGACCGCGTCCTAGAGCTTTCATTCGGTGAAGAAAAACAGCGCCGGAGCGTAGATCCGCTTCACTATTTCACGTTGGTTACTTTTCGTTGAGTTGGTTTCCGTTTTTCTAAGCGCAGCTACGCACCAAACTGATAATCACTAGGCACTGTTTTCCGCATATATTTATTCACCCAATGAGCTAAAGCAGACGTATGGCCATCACACGCGGAACAGCACATACTGCTAGCGACTAAACTGTATACTTGTAGCGTCGCAACCATTCAGTCCAAACCCCGGCAGTTCAGAATGATATAGTGTGAAAGCGTACGATGGGCGGATTTGCAATAAAGTTGTGTATGCCATTGTTCTCAATAAAGATTTACAGTTTCGTGATGTGCACTCGGAGATCAGAGGACTACCTAACTGAAGTCCAGCTTGACCATACAAAGCGTGGGTTCGAGTCTGACAGTTGATTACTGGCCTTTGGAGTTGGTTGGAAAGGACTATGTACGCCAAGAATCATGTCGGAAAACTTCTTGCGTTGTTTTTCACGACAGAATTCCGGATCTTCAGGTTTCGTCAGCTTCAAAATCATTTCACTAGGCGACGGCTTCGGTGAGATGCAATCGACTGGTGGACCGATTGGACGCAATTTTCGACCGAATCGTCCGGTCTTGCGCTGCCATAGTCCACTACGCTGTTTTATGCCGTGCCAATATTTCTCGCCAAATTTTGAGTATCTGAAATCGGAATACACATGCATCTATAATGCACGTTAAGAAGTTTGAAACACTCAATGAATTGGAAACTATAGGTATCAAGAAACCATATTGGTCAAAGAAGGTCCCGTGTGTTGTGTCAACAAGATTCTAGCATTAGTTAGATTAATGGTGTCCAGAACCGCGCGTTCATATGCTCAGATGCATCACTGATGGCATCCCTCTGTGGATATGTGTATCCTGTCGTCGACACGTAGCCAGTACTTATAAATGGCCACCGGATGTTCAAATACTTCGATACACGCGCTGTATCCACCTGTGACTTTAAAGCTGAGCACCACTCCATCGATCGAATGTAGAATACCGACCTGGCATCAGACAGCGTGATTACACGGCTACACTAGTTGTGTTACGTTCCTTACATAACACCAAACGTCTTCTTCAATGTGCGCCATTTACCAGCATCATATCTGACTGGGCGAAGCTATAAAACAGCAAGGGAGTGGTGCAGTAGAACGGTGCGATAAATCTGATCGGAAGACAGATTTACTGGTATAATTGGTTAACACCCGCGAGACGGACCACGTTAATTGTTTAAGATGCTTCGTGATTTTGGTAATAGCTGGTTGTTTAAGCGAAGCTGACCAACAGGTTGTAGATATGTAGGAGGGAGATTACTCGTTGTCAATCCAAAGTGGTCACGTGTGGACGAAACAGTGGGAAGGATCAGGAACATGAAGTGTAGAAGTCGATTGAAGCGTGCGGTACACACGGACCAATGGACACAGAGAGACCGCGGAAAACGCAAAAACGGAAAGTAACCAATGTTGTATCGTCGCGACCAGACAGCACTCCTCAGGTATGTACGGTGTGAATGATGTATTACTTTACAAACAACGGGGTTTGGTCGTTGCGCAGACGTGCTGCAGCGAGTGGATATTTCACATATGGCTCCCTGTTTCTAACTACTAGTTCTCTGGTTCTGCAACTTAACGTATTGTGATGTATAGGAGATGTGGCAATAAGATGCAACGCACTCCGGTAACCCGAAGCAAATAGAATTGCTCGGCTTGTTGTGACAGGCGAACTCAAAAGGTGATCCTTCACATGCAAGAACTTGGTGTCTTACGCTGATTTCACTCCGGTACCTAGCAAAAACAATGCACGGCAAACGACTGTCTACTGTTGTATGTATATCGCTAAAAGAGATAAAGTTGTGAGAAAACGCAGCAGCCTACTCGATATGCATGTCACTACAACGTGTGCTGTCTGCGCAGGCAATTGAAAAGTGATGTGGGGCATCTTGGTTTCGCACGCGGACATCGGAGGGCGATCATATATGGCTGGAAGTACCTTAGAGTTTGCAACCCTTACCCATTCGATACAACTTTATAGACTAGATGATAGCCCGAATAGTCCACTCAATAGAATGTTCGTGCTATTTCGCACCTATGCGATACATCTAATAGATGAACGTTCAACGTGTCGATAGCGTGATTGATGAGGCGGTTTTGGATAGGAGAGGGAGAAAGTCAGTCAAAGTGACCAGATAAGGACTACAAGTGCTGGAATGTACCTAGAAATAGCGTATGTTATGGAGAACGACTTTTCCATCTTAGAGCAGGCACTAAATCTTTGCTAGACGCACTCAAAGTTGTAAGGGACAAATGAGAACTAAGCAGTGCAAACGATTTAGCGAAGAAGGCTTTGCCTCATGATGAAACTGAACGGCGGTGTCTTAGAACTCACTTTTTTGACTTGTGTTCACAATTTGACACCCGTCCCACAACAACCATGCATTGAGGTAGAAGCCGAAATAGCTTCCGTGTCCCACCGTCGCGCAGCATAACCACGTGCTCATCGGTGATGTCGGACGTGGAGTTATCGGTCGCGGGAGCATTTGGATCTCCAACCCACTTGCCGCGACGAACGACCATGGCACTGGTACCGGCTGCGCGACATCGAATTGCACCTTCACCAGGACGTAGCTCCACTAAACAGACTGTTGTGCCTGCAGGAAGAGCGCCGACTGGATACGCATCGCCCTCCCGAGGGTTGACTGCAAGTAATAGGGAGCACTGTGAAATGCTTCTAATGGCAAGTGGGCGAGAATAATTAATTAAATTACCATCAATGTTTCGGGGTAAGTGTAGACGTATGAAATAAACATCACCGTATCAACGCTTCGCTGCCAAGCGACTACCACCAGCCACACACTGCGAGGTCGCCCACACCTACTCAGATTCGAAACGGTGACCTATCGATTCCAAGATAAACGCCACATCCAATCGACCGTAGACCGACAATATGAGTCTAGAATGACGCTCGAGAGGGTACATTCAAAGAAATGATGCGGGTCTCACCCGCACTATCCGTATTAATATGGATTGCAGGGGCTCGAATCAGGATGGTTTAGGATACAACGCCGCGTGGTTAGGGTAGTTCTTTATGACCCAAGCCCATAGTGGCACAACAGCCTACTCTACTCGGACTGTAAATAAGAGGAGTCGGACAACAGGTGATGTGAAGAGGCATCAATGCGTTGTACTGTTTCAGAAAATTGCACGGTCTAACCGTACATGGGAGGTACCTGGAGATTGGCCTCAGAGGGCATTACAACCGCATGATCAATTTGGACCGAAGCATTATCTTTTCCCGGTATTGATACGAGGTAGATTTTTGAAAAGGCGAACAAACTGCTTTCTTAGAACAAACAACAATCTTGAAACAACCAATGGCCAACAGGCAAGTTTTGAGTCATACTCGTCTAATTCCGTACGCACGGCGGCGGCGACTTTCAACCAACAACCGTGGCTTCAAAGAACCTGACTGCAAATGAGGAGGATATGACTTGATGACCAGTGCTCACTAAATATAGTGTGATTGCTGAAACGGCCGTTTCTTGATTCACACGAATCAATCATCGAAGATTCCATGTCTCCGTGACCTCCAACATTTGGTTTAACTAGTTATGTGGACAATAATCATGCCAATTAGTGATATAAATTCAGTTTATGGGGTGCCGAGATATGATGAGACTTTTGATTACCAGTTGAGGCTATCGTCGCTACATCCGCCAGGCGAGACAAGCTCTCGGGAGAAAATTCTGGTTACGTCCGATTGCCAAATGCTTGTTTCTAGGTGGAACACATGTAACTTGCTAACCGAAAAGTAACCTGACGAAAAAAGCCAAAATCAAATTCCCTGTTTTTCAAATGACGAATCTGGATTCTTGAGTAGATTAAGGTGTCAGTCAACTGGAGCCACACTGTGCCCGACCACGCTGCTGTGAAATTCCAAACAAAGCGATGTGTGAGATTCTTGACTTTAAGGGATATGCGTTCCAATGGAGAATGCGTCACTCGTACGACGGATGCTTTCTCTGCGGATCGCTTGTTTGTATGGCCGGTTTGGTGTAGTGAAGTGGTGCATCGGATCATGGGCCATGTACGCGCCGCCGCACAACGTCCACTTTAGCCGAAAGGCCCCACCTGGGCACATTGATTGAAGGTGTCTAATCAGGGAATATAGCTGGAAGGTGACATAAATGTTGCGAGTATCCCGGCTTTCCTTGTGCACCCGTCTACATGTGAAGCTCGCTTCTGAAGACTAATGCTACTTGCACTAATACACACCACCAATAAGAGTATAAATGACCGGTAACTTGGCGGGTACTTGTCGGAAATGTGATGGGGTGATAACTAGTATATACAACAAATCGCATCTTGAATAAAAAGTCCTTGATTACGATTCAACAAAGACGATCAGTTTTCAGAAAGTCAGACTGAGGTGTTCTACACATCGCCAGCTACCTTAATGAACTAAGATGTGGCGTTTCAGTAGAACCATTGACAAGATGGATAAACCCGTAGTACAGATAACTGATTTTGCATACAGCGCTGTGTACTTCGGCTTGCCACTCGAGATGTGAGGAAGATGCGTTGCAACGTGGCAAAACATATTGGGTATGAAACTGTCGATTGGTTCTCTAATCTAAGCAGTTAGTTTATACGCATATCGTTGATGATGTTACTTAGAACCGCAAAGAAACGTCTGTGAAAGAATCGCTTGATCTCAAGAACAATTCTACAGACTCACATGCACCCTGAACTAGGAATATTCTCATTTAACGCCAATATACCTGGTATGTATGGGATATCCACGTGTTGAACAATGACGTCGCCCGGTCGCATATTCTCGGTGGCCACAATCCAACGTTTCACTTCACCGGAGGCGACCAACGCAATGTGATGAGTTCGCCACCAATTTTGTGCAATCTGTAGGAGACAGAAACGAGGGCGGGGCGGATCACAATCAAGTAGTCTGATCGGCTAGTGGCCATCAAATCAAATCTACGACTGTAGAGGGTTATTACTATGGAAAATAACGATAACGTATAAAGGGTATTCGTCGAGAGCGCCTAAAGCACATGAATCAAATTGGGAGATATCAGGAGCAAACACGAGATCCATACTGTTTCTATGATGTGGTCGGCGGCATCCGGTTTCGGATTTGCCTGTCACTGTGGTCAGCCACAGGACGCCTGCGCCTACACAGGGACCGTGGGTGGCTTGCGCCGCACCACCCACAGCTCCAACCACACATCCCGTATCCAGTGTAAACCTGAAGGAATAAGACGGGGAGGCATGTGGATGGGAGCCACGTTTCATCAACGGAGCCGGCCCACACTCCTTCACAGGCAAACACAAGCACGCTGTATTTGAGAATCAAGCGCACACAAGGCGGTTGCTGGACCGTTGTCCGCTCCACACTGAGTGCATGGAACCACTCTTCGAGCCTAGCACGACCACAAGGACCGTGCACCCCGTCCCCTCCAGCAACAACAACTGTCTCCGGGAGCCAGATGGACGAGGTAGTGGGCAATAGACAGGTGATCACCTTGTCAGCATGCACATCAAGCGCAGCCACACCTGGGATGTCAAACAACAGCCAATCATTCGAAATGCCGATATCGAATAAAGTTAACGCATATGACGACATAAATACTCGCTAAATGAGCATATGGAAGAAATTGGTTAAATGTGGATACGCGATAAGTACAAAATGTCCGAAAGTTGTTTAAAAAATACCACGCGATAAAATAACGCAAGTTTACCACAATTCGCATGAGCGACGTGTGCAATTTGGGAGAAGATAATCAAGTACGCAGAATAAAACATAAAATGTAATTAATTTTATCCACATTAAAAATACCTAGTTTAAGTATAAGTTGGTTTAACCCAACTGCGGTGAAGAAGCATCATGAATGCAGCATCAACCTCAGCATGTAGCATATATATATATATACGCGTTAAAATAAAACGTTGATGATGATGATGTGCGCGCGGTGAATGGGCTCAACGCATTATGTCGTCACTAATGATTGTGGTCTCTAGTATCGTCTCTGTCTGAAGAGCAAGGAGTATGTACACAGCGTTGTTTTTTTCCCACAGTATGTATTGATTGCAACAAGCAAACTGATTCGTGAGCTATGTGCCACCGCAAGTTGTCAGCGGGCACTCGGATCGTCGCTATGCTGCCAGCAGCTATTGCACTTGGACTGTGTGATGTTACCGTAAATACACCCGAACTAGCGACCTGAGAATTACAGGCCAAGCGCTAGTACCACAACAGTATCGAAAAGTTACAGTCGTCAACTGCTGCATATATACACCAAAGTGAGTTGGTAAAAATGGGCTGTAATGGGTTAACGCAGAGAATGAAATCTCCTCAGAAAACTGATCATTAATACTATAAAATGGGTCGGGCAACCATTCTGAAATACCGGGAATTTTGAGTTGACACACAGGGACAACTAAAGTATTATGATGGACGCAGTGCGGCTGCGTATGCGTTATTCAAAGGGAACACGCATCGCAGTGACCTTCGATGCCTGTGATTAGAAATCTTTTATATGCGAGCTAGCCACATTTTAGGATAACATAAACCTGATGAGCTGAAACCAACATTTTACAAGGAAACAATTCAAGATGGGTTCCGTGGAAGGCAATTGTTAATGACCGATGTAGTTGAATGTCAATATATTAGCTGTTCACACTATGTCATCTAGCGCTGCCAGCACGTTCATTCCTCCCAAAGGATACTAGTGATAAATCTTGATGGTAAAATGTGATGTTTTCCACACTGTAGGCATTGTCCGTTATTATGAATCAATATCAGAAATCATTTCAGGGTAAAGAATTCTTTTCGGTAAATCTCATCAGACCCAAACGTTTACATAACAGTGATTGTGGAGATAGCGTCAACTAGGGCTGGGATTGACTTCGTGACTGTTTGAATGACCAAAATCGATAACTTGAGACAGAGATAGAGATGGTAGACCAAGTAAACTAAATAAACATGTGTACACAAGGCTCATTAGTACAAGGTAATTAAGTAGGTAAGATGACAGCCAAATAACTAAGTAACGGTGTCCGTTGGCCAAGGTAGTAATATCGGCCGTATAAATCGTTTTTGGACACATAATTCCGGCTTTAGATGGTGAATGTACATAGCCTCGGCGATGGATAAGAGCTGTTTGCGGAATCCTTGAGAGAAGTGTTCAGGTAATGAGTAAATGACTTTGAAGTCATTCTCTGAAGCTGTATGGCCACATTCAAGGAGGTGCGACATGATAGAGCTATCTGAAGACCTCATTTCGCCTCTGTAAAACCATGCCGGGATGTGTTCACGAACCCTCTGAGATAGGCGTCTCGTCGTGCGACCCACGTATCGTGCACCACAGGAGCACGAGTACTGATAAATGATCATTGAACGGGTCAACGGCAGTAGTCTATCCTTCAAGGGTTTTGTAAGCAACGGCTTATTGTGAAAAACGATTCTCAGGCGGGCCGCGAAATAAGTTTTCTCGACAGCATCTTTCAGGCGTCTGGATAACATATCAGCTGCAGAATCGCCCTTAAAGGGTATATGTATGAAAAGCTCTTTCTTAGGAGCAATGCTCCTAGGTGGCTTTCGATTACGTTCCTTCAAATGTTTCATGATAAATTTATCCGGATAGCCATTTTCCCTGAGGGCGTCGCTGATTCTCTGTAGTTCTTCGTTGACGGTATCCGGTGTACAAATACTGCGCGATGTAATTGTGACTAAATTGCTGATATTTCACTAATCGGCCCTTGATAAACAGCCATTTGCAAACTTCGTGTACTGGGGGTCTTAATGTGGCCCTAAAAACTCAGTGCATCAATATGAGGCAATCCACGACGATGCGTGATGCATAAATGCGGTAAAATATTCGGGAACGAAAGTATGCCCGTGTCGTCATCTCTAAGCATTCGCATCCAGGAAGAATGCAAACAACATTTAGTCATCATTTTTAGTGCCGGCCCATAGTCTTAACGATTACAGGCCTGCCTTGTAAGCCGAGGGCGGGGGTTCGAGCCTGCGTAGGGACCGGGCTGCCCTTGAGATATCCGCAGCGCAAGTGCGAATATTTTTATTATCATTACTTATTAGCTGAAGGTGAGAAATACTTCAGCTAACTGTGTCATAATACAAAAGATATATAAAAACATGATACTAAATACTACAGAATGAAAAAAGCAAGTAACGCCAAGTCTCATTATACATGCACTGTTAGATAGTTATTGGGAGTGAAGATAAGCAAGAAGGGTAGGGACAAAGAGACTCACAACACAAACGCCACTGAGGTCGGCTCTGCCATGTCAGCTAAAGTATCCAACCGAACGTACTCATCATCCTTCGATCCCCAGCAAGGTATCAACTTCGAAGTAAGGGATTTCATTCCTCTTGACCAAGTCATCGCTTGGCCTCCTCTCCTCTTCTTTCATCCACACCCCCGGTACGCAAACAACGCACGTCGCGGGAGTAGGTGGGCTGGCATGCGCGACACGTAGCCCAGCCATCGAAGCCTGGTTCGTGATATAATGGCACCGAGCGGTTCACTCGCTCTTCCTTCATCAAATACGGATCTCCAGCACGCTCATTCCTCACGCGGTGTTCCCATCAGAAATGAGTTAAACTGCGATGGTATCGATGATCGTTCTGCGCAAACCCGTGAAACTTGATGGGCCAAGTTTCGCAACCGTACAGGAGAGTTGAACGGACAGCTGCATTGTCAGCTCTACCCTTCAGAGCGCGATGAATGTCACCCATGTGCCACAGATGACGGAGATTACAAAAAGCGCATCGTGCTTTTGCTATACGGTTCGCGATCTCATCTTCTGACCCACTGGTGCTGCCCAGATACGTGAATTTCCCGACGATTTCTAAATTATCACCGCCAAGGGTCAGTGCAGGAACGGGTCCCTGCCTTATCGCAATGACGCTGGGCCTTACCGTGGTGCCATGATTTGTGTGCCTAACAGATCCACTGAGCTATGCTGGGTGGTGTTTTTTGCATCTTCAGAGGCACTCATACCAGATTGGTCAATGGTTAGAGGCCAGACAAACTCAGCCTCCTTGTCCTCCAGGTTGGGGGTTGGAATCATGATGGCTCCTTACTCCTTAAAGCGGACTCCTTTTATCCCACCGCCAAATTCGTTGCCTGGCGGTCAGGTTTTTGAACCAAAGACTTCGGTTGAGAACCCTAATCATTCTCCAGTCTAGGCCTGAGCAACCTGACAGGATCTTGCTCACGCAATACAATTAATTTCTATTCAAATAGTATCTTGGTGCTCTGGTCTTTGAAGGGCTCGTTTGATCTGGCTTTCCAGACGTTTTGCAGGATCTTCACTTATCAGCTAGTAGTTGTTCAGATCTCCGAGCAGTTCTTGTGCCTTCTTCATGTTTTCAGTTTTGTCCGTTATCACCGTGAGGACAACAATAAGTACCAGATCGACAGGGCGAAGACGCGACCACTTGACCGACCCACGTGAGCCAATCGAAGACTGACATTCAAAGCAGGAGATGATCAATATCCACTTGGATCTGGCAGTGACTTACGAGACTGCGAATTGGACCCTAATAGCCGCACTCAGGATGTTGCCTAGCTTGGCAATGAAACGTCTGCAACAAAATTGCCCAGCCCGGAGAACACCAACCCTCTCATGCACTGTCTGGCTGCCCATGCCTAGACGGTAGAACGATTAGGATACTCAACCAAAGGCTTTGGTTAAAAACCTGACCGCAAAGCAGCGGCGTTTTGGCACTCGATTACAGAGAACCGTTTTGTAGAATAAGGAAGTATCCTTATTCCAAATTCCAACATGGAGGGCTAGGAGAGTGAGTTTCCCTAGCCTCTAACCATTGACCAATCTGCTTTGATTGGCTCTCGAGGTGCAAGAAGCACCACTAAGGAAAGCTCAATGGATCACTGAGGCAAGCAAACCCTCACACCAGTCTCGTCGCAATGGAAAACACAGAGACTGTAACAGATAATAGTCTGTTCTCACTCATTGTCCTCGGTATTTTCTACTCGCACAACAATATAAAACAACCTCACAGTGAGTTACCGTTTGTGGAAATAAAAGCAATAGGTAATGAGTATGGAATTTTTCATCTAATTTATCGAGGGTTTCTCCTAGGTAGCATGTAAGTTGCGATGGTCTAATACCGTCACTCGAGTGACATTAGCCGCTTGTTTTGAGAGTCTATGGGGTTCGGTTCCTCGTGCAGCCTAGGGGTGCGGGCTACTTACGAGTTTCACTAGGATGAAACGGCCGTCTTGTGTTTTTCCGGATGCACTGAAGGATGTTTTACTTGGAACCACTGCGATGAACCTTCTACCAACAAAGTAGGGTCTGATGGATCCGGTGAGCATATCAACCGCGCAGAATGAAGGGGTTGTACTCATAGTTGGCAAAACAAGGTTTGTTAATGGCAAAGTGAGAAGGCATCAATAGCGCACGCATGAATTTCCACTGGAATCACACGAGACAGGATGGACGAAATTGGTGCTACCTTAAGAATGAGTTCCTCGCGTATTTGGCCCGTGGCAATATGTCTGGAGTAATTGTAATCTACCATGAACCAAGGTCGACGTAGGCCCGTGGTTTGGTGCTTGTATTTTATGCGTCCTGTAAGGAGAAAAACAAAATGTAATCAGAATACCAGATGATATGTAAGAGCGAATTGCGTTGATAATCCACTGTGATGAATTAATCACCTCCGAAATATGCGAAGGGGCGAATAACAGACAAGATGTGACTAGTGGTTGCATAGGTCTATGATAGGCAGATTGGGTACCGGATTCATGGCCACGTCCCGTCACTCTTATAAGATGACGCGAATAAGCAAGTATCAGGATTCCCAATGATATATTTTATCGCTCCCACAATCCAATAACGGAAGCAAAGAGAAAGTCTGCAAAGGAACACTACAATGACACTGGCTGGATCTTCTTAGCCAGAGTTCAGACAAAGTTGTTTATTGCTTGCTTGGGTATCAATAGTTTGAAAGATGTGAGTGAAGGGCCAGGTGATCATGTCTGGTATTTCCCTAATGCATAAGAAGAGCTAAAAAGAGCAGAATAAGTTAAGAGTCCTACATACCTTCCCACCAATGCGCTAGGCGCATGATATTCGAGCGACCAGGAGTAAAAAACCCGGTGGGAATAGCTGGTAAAAACTGACTTCTACCTGGTACAGTGTCGCAAGAAATGCCCGAGGCTGAGGCATGAGAGGCATGCAACCTAAGGTTCTGTGTCTAAGGTACAATGAAAAATTTGGAAGCAAAATAGAGATGGTGAGTGCATTGATGGTTGTCTAGTTGTTATTAAGCGACAATTCCTGTTCTTTTCCTTCGTCTTTTGAGTGATAGACCGTTCTCCATAGGTACGGATAGGCGTGTCATTCACTGCCTGTAGGCTGTATACCGAGTAGTGTTTTAAGTCCTCCGGATTTGGAGGAACCACAATGACTTGGGTAACAGTGTCTACGAGAAACCGCATGCCAGATTTCACGTCCTGCAAATAGAAGGGGTGACCTGGCTCGCATGTGCCAGCTTGCGTCGTCGCCATTTACGGGCTGGCGTGTTCGTTTCCCAAATTGGAAAATCGATACGGCTTTATGAATTTCCGAGCTCTGTTACGGAACCTCAGGTGATACCACTAAATGCTACGTGAACGGCTAGCACTCCGAGTACGCCGCTGGCTAGACCGAGAGTTGCGCCTTCGGCTGGCGATGGCAATGGAAGCCAGTTGCTCTTGCAGAGAGTGCACAGCTTTTACGAGTGGGCTGTCAGATGTCCGAGGCGATAACTTTGAGATCTTTAAAACAGTTAGTTCCCTTTAGTAACTTGAAAAGCACAATTAGAAAACGAAGTTTGGCATATGCATGCATTTCGCATCGTCTCATCAGTGCCGATAACGATAACCGGTAATTTTATATAACAGTTTGTGGGTACAGACATACATACAAACAAACGAAAAAGCCGTGTCTTTCTTCTACAACCAGGGCAGCCTGAGGCTAACCGATAATTGGTTTTGAACACAAAGCACTGGCTTAATCCGGCAATCTTGCACCTCAGATTGACGATGCGATGAAGCAGTTTAATGGAAACAGGGGGAATTCGTCGTTTGAGAAATTTAAAACAGTTAGTTCCCTTTAGTAAATTTGAGATCGTTGGCGAGTGTATCTCCATTATTGTATCAGCCATAAAGGCTAAGTCTTTCAATTCGATATCCTAATGAACGTTAGCCGGTATATGCTGTACATGCATAGGGAGCCGTTGGGTAAATAGCTGCTCAAAAATAGAATTCTCTGGAGGGTTATCACCTACCAAAGCTTGCATGGCTCGCAATAGTTGCATAGGGGTTTGATGGCCAAAATGCTCTACGTTGTGTAGGTGTTGCACTCTCTTGCGCTCACTAAGACTAAGCTCACGAACTAACAAGTCGCTTAGTTGTTGGTACGCAGGGCCTGTTTTCAGGATATCCTGAGCCAGGAGCAATAATTCTGGTGTGAGTCGGGAAATTACATGATGAAACGTTAAGGTATCCTTATGTACGCGATTGGTTTCAAAAAATGACAGCCTGAAAAAACCAAAGCTTGGGATATTGTATCCAAAATGTGGGTAAGCAACTGGTAGATAAGGTGTGAATTTCCCTAGGTTCCTGGTCGGTCATATTCGCATACATGAAAGTTATGAAAAACGACGAAAACGCACACGGATCAGAATTCGAAACATCGAACTTTAGTAAGAAAATTGTCTGCAAGTAGCAGTCTTAAAGGTCCCATCACAGTGCCTTCTGTTTGTCAATCATATTTTTGTACAGACAAAATTTGCTTAATGACCGGGTAGCGCAAGATTAGCTATTGGATGCATTGAACTGGGATGCCGATAGGGATGTTTTTCTTCGTTAGCGCACTAACGAACGAGCGTAGAAAATGAGGCTGGACCTTACCGTGGTGCGATGGTTTGCGTGCCTCAGAGATCCATTGAGCTATGCTGGGTGGTGCTTTGTTTTGCACCTTTAGAGCCACTCATACCAGATTGGTCAATGGTTAGAGACCAGACAAACTCAGCCTCCTGGTCCTCCAGGTGGGGGTTGGAATGAGGGTGGCTCCTCATTTCATAAAACGGGCTCTGTAGTCCAGTGCCAAAACCCGCTGCCTTGCGGTAAGGTTTTTGAACCAAAGGCTTTGGTTGAGAACCCTAATCGTTCTCCTGTCTAGGCCTGGGCAACCTGACAGTATTCTGCCCACGCAATACAATGAACCTTTCCTACAACAATTTCTTGATGCTCTGGCCGTCGCAGAGGATAATAAACGGCGCCCTATCTGCTGCATCGAGCAGGGTGGATAGGGGTTTGGATGCTACTGCTCAGGCCTTCCCGTCTTCTTATACCCCTTCTTGCGCTTCTGCATCCTTATTGTCCCGCTCCAACTTTACTTATATCCCCCCCATTTTCAATCCCCCAATTCTTGGCCCTCCCCCAGCTTACTTCAATAGTCGCTTGTCTTCTAATTTCAAATCACACACAATCGCAGGGCCTCGCTCCAATCCAGTCGATAAGTCCATGTTCAACCAAGCGGACAACGTCAGTTCATCCGTTTCCCTTTGGAGTCCTCGTGTCTCGCTAAGATTGGCATGCCTCAACGTGCGCACTTTGCTGCAGATTGGCCAACAGGCAGCACTTGCCCGCACACTAGAGACCCTATCGATCGATATTTGCTGTTTATCAGAAACCCGCCTGCAAGATTCGAGCTCCTTGCTTACCCTGAGATCCCCCACATGCGACACTGGCGGCACATTCTCATTGCGCCTATCTGGCGATGATGCAGCTTCAAATGCCGGTCAAGCCGGCGTCGGCATTGTTTTGAGTCCCCGGGCTGAAGCTGCCCTGCTTGATTGGATCCCAGTAAACAGTAGGATGTGCGCCGTTAGATTAGCTGGTTCGTTCCGTGCTTCGAAGTCGCGCGGGGACAAACGGTGCCTGTTTGTCATTGCGGCCTACGCCCCTACAAACTGTAGCACTGATTCGGTAAAAGATGATTTCTACCAGCAACTTCACGAGCTCCTTCGTTACAGAAGAAGCACGGATACTGTGGTGCTGGCTGGCGATCTAAACGCCCAAGTCGGAAAATTGTCCTCTGATGAGCTTCATCTGGGCGGCCAACATGGTGTAGGCTCCCGTAATGATAATGGTGAGCGATTGCTCCAGCTGTGTGAAGATGCTCGCCTGTTTCTCGCGAGCACTAATTTTCGACACAGCACCCGCAGAAGTGTGACTTGGCGGCCACCAGCCTCGGGCCAGTCATGGACGCAAATCGATCTTATCGCGATCAGTTACCGCTGGAGAGGCTGTGTCCAAAACTGTCGCTCGATTTGGAGCACGAGCGTGGACTCAGACCACGCACTTGTCTGTGCCGACCTCCTGATGCGCTTCGGTGGACGTCCGCAACGTCGATGTGAACGGATTGACACTAGCCAGCTGGCGAAGCCAGATGTTCTGAATGTGTACCAAGATGCGCTGACATCTGGGCTGAGTAAGCGCCCACTAAACACCGTTGAAGATCACTGGTCGCACACTCGTCAAGCGTTGCTATTAGCAGGCATGTCTTCATGTGGCAAAACAAATTGCCAAACCGGACATTGGGTCTCTACACAGTCTCTGGAACTTATGGATGCTCGCCGACGTATTCCGGCTGGAAGCGAATACAATGAATCTCGCAAAAATCTCAGGGCGAAACTACGTGCTAGCCTAAAGAAGGACCGCGAAACCTGGTGGTCGCATCGTGCCTCTGAGATGGAAACAGCCGCTGCCGTGGGTAATCATCGTAAGTTATACCGTCTGATACGGGCAACAGGCAGCAGGAGACCTGGTGTTAGCGAGACCATACGCGACGAGAGTGGGCAGATGATCCACAGCCTGTCAAAACGCTTGGAGCGTTGGGCTGAACACTTTGCTATGCAATTTAACCAACCTGAGTTATCACTTTCTTCGGGCATTGAACGCCCTTCTCCTTGGGCCGTCTCCCTGGATCCGCCCTCACGCGCAGAAGTCGAACGTGAGATCAGGCTGTTGAAATTGCATAAGGCCTCAGGGGCAGATACTATTCCTCCAGCCCTCTTCAAGTTCGGTGGACCTGCTCTAATAGGTGATCTACACGAGTTGCTAGTAAAACTTTGGGAGCAGGAGACAGTCCCGACAGACTGGAACCGCTCCGTCATTGTCCCAATTTTCAAGGGAGGCTCCCGTTTGGTATGTGGTAATCATAGAGGGATCAGTCTGATTTCGATTGCCTCTAAATTGCTTGCCTCTCTCATTCTCCACAGACTGACTGGCACTCGTGAAAGCCAAATTCGTGAAGAGCAAGCCGGATTTCGTCGAGGTCGGGGCTGCATCGACTACATCTTCACATTGCGTCAAGTGTTGGAGCACCGCCATGTTTATTGGCGACCCACCGTTGTCGTGTTTCTTGACATAAAAGGTGCCTTCGACTCAGTCGATCGATGTGCCCTTTGGGACTGTCTGTTGAGGAAAGGTGTGCCTGATAAATATGTAAACATTATCAAAGCGCTGTACGCACATAGTTCGGGCAGGGTGAGGGTTTATGGCAAACTCTCGCCACCC